AATATATTATAAAATATATTTTAAATAATATTTTCAATATATATATATATATATATAAATATAAATTATATAATATAATTTTTAATATATTTAAAATATAATATATATAATAAATATTATAAAAATAAATATAGAACCTAAATTAGAAATTGCAAAAAAAAAAAATAAATAAATAAATTAATAAATATAAAACCTAATAAATAAATATTATATAAAATATATTATATTATAATATGTATATACATATATTTAATATTATAATATAATATATTTTAAATAATATTTTTAACATATAAATATTTAAATTATATAATATAATTTTTCATATATATTTAATATAATATATATCAAATATTATATTATAATATATATTATAAAAATAAATATAGAACACACAGAATTAGAAATGGCAAAAAAAAAAAAATAAATAAATATATTAATTAATAAAAATATATAAAATCTAAATATAAATATAACACCTAATAAATAAATATTATAAAATAAATATAAATATAAAACCTACATTAGAAATTGCAATGAAATTACATACAACACGACGAGTTTATTATTATATCCTATCAAACATAACAACCAAAGATTAATAATAATAATAATAATAATAAATCTCCACGAACAAGGAAGTAAATATTCTTCTTTTTTTTAAAAATAAAAATTAAAAAAAAAAAACATACAAAATACATTTAAATATGTATGTATATATACTTTGTAATATATTACGCGTATAGTTTAGTTTCCTTTTTGATTTTCTGATTAGAACGGAAATTCAACGTTAGAAACGAGAATAAGATTTATGTAACGATATAAAAGAAAAAAAAAGAAAAAAGGGAAGTATACATAATATATATATATATATATGTGTGTTTTATGTGTGTATATGGAGTAGAGCAGCCAACAGCAACACCTTAAAATTATAATAAATGAGTAAAATGCATTTCATGCTTACACGGAGCGAAAACGAAAGGCTTCTTGCAAAGTAACTATAACGTAATACTATGTTAATGTTTTTTTTTTTTTTTTTTTTACCTGTACAGTTGGTTCAGGATCAGGTTGTTGTTCGTTAATTAACGAACCTGCTAGACTAATGTCATCGTATTCTTCTCCATCCAATACGGATAATTCATCATGATTTCTTGTATCCATTCCACGTAGACAACGTCCACATAATTGGCCCCGTCTTCAAATTTCATTGAATTTTATTTCATATTCAATTTGATTTTTTGATTTTTAAAATTCTATTTTTTTTTTTTACAATTTTTATATTGTTTCATAAGATTATGCATTATGTGCAAAGAATGTATGTGTGTATGATTAATTATAAAATATTTAAAGAAATATTTTTATATTAATTAATTGTGCTCATAAATTATGGCAAGTGGGTTTTGTAAGTTAAAATTAAAAAAAAAAAAATAAAAATGGTACAGGATAAATTAGAAATTATTTAAATAAATACTTTTTAGTATTCAATTGTACTCATAATTATGGAAATTGATTGGTCTAATTGTAAGTTAAAATTAATAACAAAATAAATTGATCTATCAGTTATTTTACACACTCACATTATTTTCAATTAAATTAATTTATTATTGTTGTAATTTAAAAAATAATAATCTATAAATATCAAAAAACATAATTATGGGTTTTAGAATAAAACAAATTATATTAATACTATTTAAATGCACCCATTTAGTTAAAAAAAAAAAAAAAAAAATAAAAAAATAAATAAATTCAAACCTTACTTTTTTAAAGGTATTAATTTCATCTTAATTATAAAATACATAAATAAATATTAGTATTATTAAATTGTGCCCATAATTATAGAAAGTGGTCTAAGTTAAATTAATTAAATTAAAAAGCAAATGAATTTATTATTATTAATTATTTCACACAAACATTATTTTAAATTAATTTAATTGAATATTCTTGTTTCAATATTATATAAAATTAATTGATTAATATTCAAATAAATTTATTAAATTATTCAATAATTAATTATAAATTATATTCAATATAATTTTTGTTATTTTAATATAATATTGGGATGTCTAGCACTTGATTACGCTATCTGGTGGTTAAATTCAAAATTAGAATAGATAGGTTGAATTGCTAAACCACGTGGTGGGATCTGTAGCACTTGAATACGCTATCTGGTGGCTAAATTCAAAATTACAGTAGATGGGTGGAATTTTGCAACGCCACGCCTCTGTCAGAGATCCCAGTAGAATTCATTTAGTGTTCAAATACAATTATTTAAACAATATGACTTACAATTAAATCAATTTCATAATTATGGGAACAATTATTGATTGCAGTTTTTGAAAATAAATTATTACTATTATTTAAATGACACACACACACACACACACACACACACACATTTGTGTAATTAAATAAATAAAATAAAATCTTACCTAACTTCCTCGAGGGTATTAATTTCATCTTGTAAATTTTTCACGTCCTGTGCTTTACTACGCCAAAATGTTAATTGTTCTTCCAAAGAACTATTTTCTTGTAACAAAGTAGTCAATTGTTGACCAAGTTCATTAACCTTCTTTTGTTCTCTAACTCTTTGACTACGTGCTTCTTGTAATTGAATTAATAAATCCGTCAATTCTTCCTCATTTGAGTTTAACGTTAATGGTTGTTGCGAGTTAGTATCGTTGATGGTTTCTTGAAAAACTTTTGGTGAACTTGGGGCAGCGCACTACATTTATTTATAAAAAAAAAAAAAAAAAAAACTAAAAATTTGAAACAATTCTTTAGTTTTTAGTAAAATAATTTTTATCATTTATTTATTTATTTATTTATTTATTTATTTACCTGTTTTATGCTGCCACCAGGCGTTACCGATGCTTTCCAAGAAACTGATTGTGTTTGAACGACATCAGGATTTAAATTATTTGTTTGCTGACGTAGCAAAACTTCTCTCTGTGATGTAAGATCGTCGATTTTCTTTTGAAGTTCCTCACACCTTGTCTCGAGATTTTCGATAGTTAAGCATTGACTGTATAAATATAATTAACAAATAATATTATTACCAATTTATATATGAATTCGAGTGTATATAATATTATTTAAATATATAATAGACTTTCTGAGTTAAAAAATGGTTAGAAATATTTGACAGTAATTATTAAAATTGTAATATTAAATAATATATATATATTTCTTTTTTTTTCAAGTGGAATAAAATAAATCTTGATATAATATTTATATAATAAATGATATATTTAATATTTATATAAAATAATAAGTATTGCTTTACTATTGTTAATATAATAATGTATATTTAAATATAATAGATATGTATATTAATTTTGTATAAATAAAATATAGCGATAAATTATTATAAAAACTTGTCAAATATATTTTCATAATTATACAAATTTCTAACTTTTTTTTTTTCATAAAAATATTTAAAATACCAAAAATATTGCAATTATAAAAATTATTCAAATAAAATACAATACTACAATAATATAATACGTAAATTTGTACTTCAACGTATTGCAAAATTAATTTTGTTATTTACCAAATTAATTTTTATATTTCTAATAAATTTAAAGTTTATTATTAAAGTTGACAACTTGTAAACTCACCCTATTATAATAATAATAATATAATTAATAAAAATATTGTATATGTATATTCAACAAACACGTGTTAATTGAATGAATAATAATAAGATGATAAATTATTTATATTTTTAATTAATGGAGAGAGGGGGGGAAGTANTATATATATATATATATATATATATATATATGTTATTCTTCAGAATTTATTATTTTATATTTAAATTAAATATATTTTAAAAATTGTTTAAAATTCTCTATGTATATTATAAATGATTTAATTATTAAAATTCGTGGCCATTATTTCCTGAAGATAAAAGAAGACAAATAAAAAAAAAAAAAAAAAAAAAAAAATGAACATTACTATTGAAAGTAAAATTAAAATTAAACAAAAAATTAAGAAATAAATTAAACGAATAATTTTCTTTGTAAGCATAAAACACAGGCATGCCACTACATAGCAATTAATTAAAAAAAAAAAAAAAAAACAATGACTAAAAAACAAAATAAAACAAAACAAAGATAAGCACAAGATGAAACGTTGATGCAAAGTCGTAAAAATAGCAATTCAATTAAAAATTTTAAAAGCTTCTTCTCTCTCTCTCTCTCTCTTCTCTCTCTCTCTTTCTCTCTCTCTCAGGTGCATTTACTATCAATGATTGAATTACAACGTGTGTTAATTGAATTCAATATGAACGACGATGAACGTGAAAATATTCATTACGAATTTCTATGAATTAATTTTTGTTCTTATTGCAAGTATTCTTTTCTTTTTTTTTTTTTTTGTCAAATAAAAATCATTTTTTATATTAAAAAAAAAAACAAAGAAAAAAAAATATTAGAAAAGAGATTACGAAAGAATTAAACGAAGAAAAAAATACTAAACTCGATTATAGTTCCTTGATTTTCTGTATTATGTTTCATCCTAAGTTATTAAAATGACCGGAAACACGTCCAGGTAGGATTATCCTGGATTGAAATTTTTAATTCTTTTTTTTTTTAATTTTTTTTTTTTCGTAGTACTGCGTTTTAAAATTGTCTTGTAAAAATGTCCTTGAACAAGACACGTAAAGACACTTTGGAAAAAATTAATTTTTAAATAATGAATTAATCGTAGTTTTACAATTAATCAATTTTTGTCTCGTTTACATTGTCATTCAAATAAATTGTTATTTAATATTCAATGTTTAAATTTAATAAATAAATTAAAGAATTATTGATTTAAATGACACAAGAGAGACGTTCAATTTTTCAAATAATTAAATTGTAAATATTTTAAATAATTTACATAACTTTTTGCAAAATTTTCCAAGAGAAACACGTGTGTCGAGAGTTTTGTTTTGTTTCTTCAAAATTGAAATATCCTTTTAAATAATTAAATTATAAATAATTT